TCCACAGCAGCCCCTGAAGCAGTCTGGCCTCATGGCTTGCTCCATGAGATTCTGTTTTAAGTGCAAGTCGCAGGACACCTGCGTCCTGTTTAATGGAGCAATATTCCTACACACAAAAAACAGCCTGGGTGTGTGTGTTCATTATTGTGGGGTGGCTAGTCCCACTGACAGTGCTTTTAAACCCCGGTGAGGGTATAGTACTATATAACACAGCCTAAACCTAGCTAACAACTATAGGGTCCTAACTATTTAAAAATAAGTATTCTAAAAACATGAGAAAAATACCATATGGGAAGCTCTGACTCTAGCTGCAGGAGGTGAGACAGTGCTGGGGGTGGAGGTGGAAATGATGGCACTACCATTCCTAAACAGCCATGGTAAGGGCTGTGGGCTACAGTGTGTAAGTAGATTGACCGATCCAGACGAGTACCCAGAAGTCAGCCCCTACAAGACAGGCCCAAAAAAGAAAATAACAGAACACCACTAGCTGTCACCTTCAGCCCCCAACTAAAACCTCTCCAGCGCATCATCAGAGATCTACAACCTATCCTGAAAGATGATCCTTTATTCTCACAGATCTTGGGAGACAGACCTGTCCTCGCTTACAGACAACCCCCCAACCTAAAGCAAATACTCACCAGCACATCACTGAACAAAAACACTGACCCAGGAACCTAGTCTTGTAACAAAGCCTGATGCCAACTCTGTCCACATATCTATTCAAGTGACATCATCATAGGACCTAATCACATCAGCCATACCATCAGGAGTTCGTTCACCTGCACATCTACCAATGTGATATATGCCATGTGCCAGAAATGCCCCTCTGCCATGTACATTGGCCAAACTGGATAGTCTCTACGCAAAAGAATTAATGGACACAAATCTGACATCAGGAATCATAATACTCAAAAACCAGTAAGAGAACACTTTAACCTGTCTGGCCATTCAATGACAGACCTGCGGGTGGCTATCTTACAACAGAAAAACTTCAAAAACAGGCTCCAACAAGAGACTGCTGAGCTGGAATTGATATGCAAACTAGACACAATCAACTCAGGATTGAATAAGGACTGGGAATGGCTGAGCCATTACAAACATTGAATCTATCTCCCCTTGTAAGTATTCTCACACTTATCAAACTGTCTGTACTGGGCTAGCTTGATTATCACTTCAAAAGTTTTTTTCTCTTAATTGGCCTCTAAGAGTTGGTAAGACAACTCCCACCTGTTCATGGTATGTGTGTATCTCCTCAATATATGTTCCACTCTATATGCATCCGAAGAAGTGGGCTGTAGCCCATGAAAGCTTATGCTCTAATAAATTTGTTAGTCTCTAAGGTGCCATAAGTACTCCTGTTCTTAGTGTGTAACCGTTGCTCCTATAGGTATTGCTAGGTAATGGTGATGTGGGGGTGTTGAGTGTCTGCACCGTGTAGGGAATACATGTCTGTAAGCACAGAAGCCTGGACAAAAGCAAAACTGGATAAAACTTGTCCAGTCTCTTTCTTACCAAGAAGAACACCCAAAAAAAATTCCTCAGGAAAAAGTAAAGCTGGCCTTCACTGACTGCTTTCTAGTTCAGGGAAAAGTGGGAAGATAACATGGATGCATCAGGAGAACTTGAAAATCAATGTGGGAAGACTGTTTTGAGAGCCTATCAAATGTAGACTTTTTAAAATTTGATTTGGAAGGCTTGAAAACTGGAAAGTTCTATTTTTATGGGGAAAATAGGGTAGAAATCTCAGGTTGGTTTGAGAGGGTTTTTTTTTCTTACCTTTTTTGGTCACGGTACACAAAGGCATCTTATTGAAGGGTTGAACTAACCATGTCAGAAACAGTAGAGAAACCACCAATCCACTGGACTACCCTTCTCTCAGTTGTACAGATTCTGATGCTTTTGTTGCTGCTCCAGTATGTGATTTGCCCTTTAAAAGTGGGAATGCCGTTTAAAAAAAGAAAACATTAGCGGCTAAGGAGCAGGGGAAGAGCAGAGCTGGATGTGAGCAATCATGCTTGAAGTCCCTTGCTCATACTGTAATCCTCTAAGCTTTAAAGCCTTGCTGAAGTGGTTTTACAGCTGTGCAACATCATGGCGCACTCTCCTCCCTACTGCTAACATTTTAGTGCACATAGCCATTAACCTTGTTGTTGGAGAGGGCAGGCTAATGGTATGAACCAGACACTTCCGCCAATGTCCCTTTGATGAAAACTACTACTGGGTTCAATAAAATAGCCGGCTCAGCTGATCTGACATATGAAACCCTTTTGGGACTGCCACCTGATGTACCTAGTCTACCTCTGAGTTCATTTTCCCTGCCAGCTTGGGACTTCAGTACCTTGCCTTGTTTGAGCCAGACATACTTACCTGCTGCAAACACAGATCCAAGTCTGAACCATGTTCCCCACAAGCTGCAGGCGTAACTGAAAACAGCTTAAGAAGTGCTCCTGTCTCCAACACTCAGATACCCAGCTCCCAATGGGGTCCAAACCCCAAATAAATCCATTTTACTCTGTATAAAGCTTATATGGGGTAAATTCAAAATATTCACCGTCTATAACACTGATAGAGAGATATGCACAGCTGTTTGCCCCCCCAGGTATTAATACATACTCTGGGTTAATTAATATACAAAAAGTAGTATTTAATTGGTTCCAAGTAATAAGACAGAACGAAGTAAACCACTAAACAAAATAAAACACAAGTCTAAGCCTAATACAGTAGGAAATTAAATGCAGGCAAATCTCACCCTCAGAGATGTTCCAATAAGCTTCTTTGATGTGGACTAGGCCACACTTAAGGGAGCACAGAAAAGAGGGTTAACTGACATAAGCATGCCCACAGTATGGGCCAGACATGCTACTAACTGAGGAACACAGTGAAAGGAGTGGGAAAGTGTCAGGTGTCTGAGGGAACAGTGATTCCGTTCCTCCTCCACACAAAACCCTCAGGTTGCCCTGATGTATTTTAGGGTTTTTTTTTTTTTTTAAAACAGTAGCTTCAGTGTCTGAGTTGTTGGCAGAGAGAGGAGACTAGAGTTCAGACCAGGCAGTACCACAACTAGGATTAGCTAATGCCCTTTCTGGAACAACTGGGGCAAAACACCTGGTTGCTGTGGCAGACTGAAAGGAGTGGGGCATTCAGTCCTTTTTCTTCCTGCCCCTTTGATGTACCAGCCTCTTGGAAACATTCTTGGATACCATATTTCACCCCAGGCAGAAGGAAAAAAATAGCCAAGGACCTCTGGCTTGTTGCTTCCTAAAGCCCAGAGCTTGCTGCTGAATTTCTACTCCCAAGTAGCTCCTGCTGGAGTCAACCCTTGTTGCGGTTTCATTTTGGGCTAAAACACCAAGTAGCCAGCAAAACAACTTTCTTGGAGACTCTGGAAAGCAAGATGCTCCTGCTGAATTTCTGCCCTCAACAGCTTAAGGCTTTCTTGCTATATAGTGGAGTGGGGGAGGTGGCATACTACTGCACAGCTGGGCCGTGAGCAGGAGCCTGTTGGATCCTAACTGGTCCTGCAATTTTCTCATCCCATACTGGTTTCCTGCAAACTCCTGTTCTCAAAAATTCTCTCCCTACCAGCAGGCACTAAGCAGAGAGGAACAAATAAAAAGTATAATGGAAAAGATTCTGCTCATCAACAGAGAGGAGGCCTAGAGCAGTGCTTTTCAAACTTTTTCTGGCAACTTAGGACTGGTCTACACTGGGGGGGGGGGGGAATTGATCTAAGATACGCAACTTCAGCTACGAGAATAACGTAGATGAAGTAGACGTATCTTAGATCGATTTACCTTGAGTCCTCATGGCGTGGGGTCGATGGCCGCGGCTCCCCCGTCAATTCTGCTTCCGCCTCTCGTTCTGGTGGAGTTACGGAGTTGACGGGGAGTGCATTCGGGGATCAATTTATCGCATCTAAATGAGACACGATAAATTGATCCCCGATAGATTGATTACTACCCGCTGATCTGGCAGGTAGTGAAGACGTACCCCCTGTTGAAGAAAATTGTTGATGCCCTTGACCCAACAGAGCTGGGAATGAGGGGTTTGGGCTGTGGGAGTGGCTCAGGGCAGGGGTGGAGGGTTGGGTTGTGGGAGGCATCTGGGCTGGGGGGTGCAGGCTCTGGGGATGAGGGGGGCTAGGGCAGGGGTTTGGGGTGCAGGAGGCATTTAGGGCTCTGGGCTGGGGATGCAGGCTCTGGGGTGCAGGAAGGGGCTCAGGGCTGGGGCAGGGAATTGGGTTGCAGGCTTACCTTGAGTGGCTCCCGGTCAGGAGTGCAGCAGGGGTGCTAAGGCAGGCTTCCTACCTGTCCTGGCACTGCGGAGCACCCCAGAAGCAGCCAGCAGCAGGTCCAGCACCTAGCCGGAGATGCACAAGCAGCTCCACATGGCTCTTGCCTGCAGGCACCACCCCCAGTCTGCAGTGCAGAGCTGGTGCTTGGGGTGGAGGTAGTGCTCAGAGCCCTGGAGCCGGACCTACTGCTGGCTGCTTCCAGGGCAGAGCACGACGGGACTTTTAATGGCCTGGTTGGCTGTGCTGACCAGAGTCGCCACAACCCAGTCCCCTACATTTCGCAACCCAGTACTGGGTTGTGACCCACAGTTTGAAAAACACTCGCCTAGAGGAACTACCTGCTAAAGTGGAGGTGAAATAGTGGAGAGGTGGCGGTAATTAGTTCTCTGAACAGCTCCACCTGCTAGCAGTACATTGTAAAGCAACAGGTATTTTTAAAACCTTGTTTGGAGGATGAGAATAACCCAGCTGTAGTGGATGAGGGAGCACCAATTGTCCACAAACCAAAGGAGTACAGTGTCACTCCCTGCACAACAGAAGTCAGGATCTTTGGTTACAAGACCCAAATATAAGAGCTTCCAGCTGGACCAATACTACTTATGTGTAGCTTAATATGTGATGTTTGAAATAATGTGTTTAAAAATAATACAAGAAGGATTTTAATATAGCTGTGTGTATTTTTTAATTCAAGTTTTCTGTTTTTCAGGGACTTCATGTGTGGACTGTGCAAAGAGAAAGTTAGGAGAAAATGACTTGGATCTTTCTAAGAGAGTCAAACAATCTGATAATGGTATTCTCACCCCCTAATAAATAATCTTAAAATTCCAAGATACTTAAAAATAATCTCTGAAAAGTTTTCAGAGCTAATTATTTCCAGGATTTAAGTGGACTAAAAAGTTCAAAATCTCTTAATACATTTCTAGGGGGTGCAGGGCAGTTTAAATACTAACTGGATTAGATCATTGGCAGATGGCTGCTATTTCTTGTATAGTCAATTTATTACAAATCTATGAGTGACTTACATTTTTTTTTGGTTCTCATCAGTTGATACCTCTGCTGGTGACCTGGGCATTGTAAAGAATTTTGAAACCCAAGTGCAGGGCAACTGCGCAGGACCACCGGAGCGGGAAGCAGAGAATTGGGCTCTCAGTACTCCAGAGTTTCAGTGACTTTCTCTACCTGGCATTGACTGTAACAACCCTGCTTCCTGGCAAGAACAACAACTTGAAATGGCATTAAGAGTTTACCTTCATATACCATAGTAGCCTGCTGCTCTTAGCAATTTTTTCTCACCCAGAGTGAACTATTCTCACTATTACTAGTCCCAGTCAAGAGCAGGGAGTAACTGCTAAAAGCTGTTAGAAACTAATTTAATAAATAAAACTAACGTTCTGTACCCTAAGGTTAAAGTAAAAGTTTTAAAAATAGACAAGGATTCATTTCCACACCACCACAAAAAGGCAGTGTTAAATATACCTAAACTAAAAGTTGGAGAAGGCTGGGGTTCAAACACTTGAAAGTGAAACTGACACAGACTATAAAGAGATATTTTAAGTAGAAAGTAAGGTTGAAATTAAGTTATTTTTAAGAACTGCAAACAAGGGTAGCACATTGTGTGTGTCGTCATTCGGACAACTTGCTTGCATATTTTATTTCTTCCCCACCCACCCCCTTTTTCATCTATTTTCTTATTCCTGGTTCCTCTTCCAAGCTGCTTTATGTGGGCATGCCCCTGCACCTTCGACTGAATCAATTAAGCTCCATATGCCCAGAGGGCTGTCAGCATAAAGCTGCTTACAGGATCTGAACCTTAAACTGTAAGCTCCTTGGAGCAGGCACCATCTTCATATTTTATAAAGCACAAATATCTGACCTATTCTATGAATATTTCATTTTTCACTTGTCATCTGGTATCTTTTAGTATCACTTAACATTGGGGGAAATGAAAATATAAATGAAAGTGGCCAGCAGCATACAGGCTGTTCTTTATTGACTGGGATTCACTTCACTACTTACTATACTTTGGAATGAAAATATTTCAGTTTGTTTGAAGGACAGGACATGCTTTTGGTATTTCAAGTAGAGATTACGGGGATGTTTTCATTGCTGCATAGTTAAAGCAGGCCACTATCTAATTATGTGCAGTAGAGAACTGCTACAAACCCCAGCTCATCAAGGCTTTAACCACTTTGACTACAGTCAATGTGACTACTCCATATGCTTAAAGTAAAACATGCTTAAGACCCTTGCTGAATCCTGTCCTTAGACTACCAAATTTAAATTCTATTATGAGAGCTTGGATTTCACGTTTTTATGAGGGGGTCCTGTAAAACTTGTTAGTTTCCCCCAAAATTGTGTTGCCCTGGAGCAAACACTTTTCTTTAAATGAAATTCTAAAGTGTTACAAAAATTAATATTTCTTTAATCAGCATCAATCAGATACTGATGGCTGATTAAGTGGCTGGATTAGGCTGTGCTTTTTGCACCCATTTTCCTGAGGCTGCTGCGAGCACACTATAGTTTTGAGGTTGTTTTAACACAGCAGTCAGAGGTTAAAATTAGTGCAATACACTTTTATTGAACTCTATTCTATGGTACTTTTATGGCTCCGATCATCATAGTATCTGAGCATCTCATCCATTCAGTTGGTTCCTCAGATATAACCTATTTAACTTGTCTTTTAGTTTTCCCAGGAGCAACACTACATAACTGCCTTTCCACTGCACATGCACACACACATTTAAACTTAGCATTGATTTGATTTGAAGTGTTTTTAAATCACAAGTAAATTTAATTTTGCTTTTTTTAAACAGGTAGCACTGGAGACTCTTCAAGTCTAAACACCACTGAAAACTGCAACTTGTAAAACAGCCATTCTTGCCTTAGTGCCATACAATTGCACTGTGAAAAATGCACATCGCAGTAGTGATGAGATCTCTTTACAATTCAATGTATGCATATTAAAAGCAGAGTTGCTGTGTGGCCCATTATGGAAGCTACTGGCAGTAGAATATGCATGTTTCAGTTATCTTATAAGGAGGGCTGACTTGCAACTGGCTCATGGAAATATATAGCTGAAAGGGATATACCTAGAACGTGACTGTTCAGTGTGATACATTCAGTTAATCAAAAAGTAACTTGCTTTGAAATCCTGTTTTGAATACGACTGAGTCTGGATTCCCAAGTGGAGGAAATAGGCCATAAACCTAGACATTCATTAAATGATGCAGCTGGCTCTACTAACGCTATTGTAGAAATTAATTTACTTTTTTGGTATTCTTTTATAATTTTTTTAAAATGGAAACTGGTGTATTTACTGAGAATTTTAGAGACAAGGTGGAAGGTAATATGTTTATTGGACATGAGTAAGGGTATCACAATCTGGCCATAAAGTGTTATGATTAATATACCTTGTCTGCCAACTGTGCTGGCTGGCTGTTTGCTAAAAGGTAGGGGGAAAACCCACCAAGGAACAGTTTTGACTGGGGGAGAGGGGAAGCTGTACACCTCTTTGTGGCTTGGCAATGATGGGCAAACATGGCCATGTAATATGGAGCTAGTCTCTCATCAGTTTCTGACCCTTACAGAACATGGCACCAGAAAGCTCTGGATTCAATTTCAGAAGAAATGTAAGATTGGTCTTTTACAAGTGTTGGAAACAGAATATAATGTCTCCTTCCCTAGAGTAGCTCTTTGAATATATACAGTTTAAAAAAACATTTAAGCTCCTAGAACTTGTATCTTTATATTTAACCTAACCACATCTGAAACCTTGTAGTGAGAATCTTCCTGATAAAAAGTAAAAAATGCTATACATTTCAAGATTTTTTCCAACATTTTAATTCTCAATAGTTTAACATTGAAAAGCTATATATAACAGATGAGGTTTGCATTTTTTGACAGCAATCATATGAATTTAACATAGCATCCATATTCAAAAAGTCACTCATCATTCATCAGTTTTTATATTAATGGGACTTCATAGTTTATCTTAATGCTAACCAACAAGAACATACTTAAAGAGATTAGGCACTAGTCACTAGAATTTAGCCATTTCAGTAATGTCTTTCAAAAGCATATTTTGAATTTGTAACGCAACAGGAACATGTACTCCATAAAACCCTAAACAAAACTAGGTCAAATAATACAATCATTTATTCTTCTCCAAATTCTAAGAAATGGCTCTGTGGGTTACGAAGCTATATTCTTGGACTTCTGTATAAGAATATTTAAAAGCAATATTCAAAAAGCTTACAAACTTGTCAGAAAGGTGGCTGTAGAAATCACAATTTTATTATTCACAGATGGCCCTGAAACTTTCATGTTTTATTCCAGTGTGGAACTGTATCTGTGCTTCTCTTTTCGTTCACTGTCATCAATGTCTGGATACACAGTAAGATCCAGAGTCAGTACCTGACTAAACATGTAATCATCTTGCTGAAAGGAGGAAGAATCAAATCAGTTTACAAGCATATATTAAAAATAAGCATTATCTATAAGATGATGCAGTTACCAGAAGGACCACTTAACTATACATAGCTTGTTCTGGAACGCTATTAAACACTTACCAATGACTGTTCCTGAATGAGAAACAATGCATTTGAACCACCCAGCTCTTGATATACTTGTTAGAGAATTTTTTTTTAAATGAGCATTAAGGGGGAGTCATTTCTTAAGAAATAATTGGCTGTAGCTGGAATTTTTTTTAATAGTTTAATTGCTGTATGAAGTTAATTTGATTTAAATCAAGACAGAAAAATAACTAAGATTATTTGTACCTCTGGACAGACTCCAATTAATGCATCTGCTCTGGAATAAAACTCCTCCTTTAGAGAAATAACTATCATCTGACACTGTTCCTGTGCCTGCTCTTTGATGAAGCTTGATACCTTTGGAGAAAAGCCACAAATTTTAGGATAAGTGGGTTCTGTCAGATTTAAATCACAATTGATTAGGGAACAATGCTGAATTGCTCAGCAGACAGAATTCATTTATGAAATGGGCAGGGTAAAAGGGGGAATATAACCGGCCAAGAAAGACACTGTACATGATGTAGGTTCACAGTATGACCCCACAGGTTTGACCCTTTAAAAAATGTATATGAAAACAATCCACTTTAGAAATGTGACATTTCTAAAGTTAACGTAGCGCATTTTACTTGACAATGTTTTTAAGTTAGGAGAATTTCCATGTATAAGCCATAAATTTTACAGCCTGTTACCATTTACATAATGTGATACAGATTACAAATGCATATTACTGTGCGGTTTTACGTGGCAGAAAATGTTTTTCACTAGCTGTAAAATGTTACTGCATAGAGCTAAATTAAGAAGACATCATACCACAACAGAAGATAAAATTCTAAATGAAAATTAGAAGCAATATTTTTTAATCACACTTCTATCCGCTATGTCATAATAGGCATAGTCATTGAAATAATTTTGAACTGAAGATATAAAACCTGACTAGTTTTCACAGTGACTGACCATAATCCATTCTGAAACTAACTTTATAAGGAGTTAGTATTATACACACTTAAAGTTCCGGAAAGTTTCTTCTTTCAATTTTCAGTTTAAAGCCTTCTAGCCGTGTTACAGCAGAAGATCTCCAACAAGTTGCTACTAACCAGACCTTTCCCAAACTCTTTTGATCCCAATAAGTACTGTACATATACTAACCTGTTCATATGCAAAAAGTATATGCAGTATTTATTAAGCATATTTTTTCTATTTCCAAACAACATTATTTTCTGTAACAAACTCAAAACACTGGCAAATATATAAAGGTCCCTTCATTTGAAGGTGTCTCAGGTCTTTCTCATGGCAGGTAAGATCACCATTTACGGTTGAGGAAACTGAAGCAATGAGAAGAGTTGGAGTAGGCCTCAATATTGATACAAAATTATTAATAAATTATTTTACATAATTACAATCTTGACTTTGCTCTTACTGAATTTTGCTACAATTATTTTCATACACTTGCTTAGAGAATGATAGCTCACATTCTTAGGTTTTGGTGGGATTTTTGGTTGCTTATTATATGAAATTATTACACTATTATTAGGGCCCTACCAAATTCACTGTCCACTTTGGGCACTTCATGGTCATAGGATTTTAAAAATCACATATTTCATGATTTCAACTACTTAAATCTGAAATTTCACGGTGTTGTAATTATAGGGGTCCTGACCCAAAAAAGGAGTTGTGAGAGGGTTGCAAGGTTATTGTAGGGTGGGGTTGCAGTACTGCTACCCTTACTTCTGTGCTACTGCTGGTGGCGGCACTGCCTTCAGAACTAGTGATCTTGAAAGCACTGGCTGCTGGCCAGGATCCCAGCTCTGAAGGCAGAACCACTGCCAGCAGCAGTGCAGAAGTAAGTATGGCATGGTATGGTATTGCCACCCTTTCTTCTGCACTGCTGCTGGTGGGGCGCTGACTTCAGAGCTAGGTGCCTGGCCAACAGCCACTGCTCTCCAGCTGCCCAGCTCTGAAGGCTGCGCAGACTTAAGGGTGGCAATACTGCGACCCCCCACACGACTTCCTTTTGGGTCAGGACCCTCAATTTGAGAAATGCCGGTCTCCCCCATGAAATCTGTATAGCACAGGGTAAAAGCACATAAAAGACCACATTTCACTTGGGGAGGGACCAGATTGCATGGCCCATGACGCGTTTTTCATGGCTGTGAATTTTGTAGGGTCCTACAAGGTGAGTAACCCCTTTCTTTGAGTGATTGTCCCTAAGTGTAATGCACTTCAGCTGATTCACAAGCAGTGTCACTTAAAAAAGGTGTATGCCTGGAGTCCTATGACACAGACTGCAGAACGGCTCTGCCTAGAGAAGCTGCAGCAGCAGCTGATTGCACTAGTCGCAGTGGCTCTCAAACTGTGCGTCAGGACCCCAAGTGGGTTGCGACCCCATTTTAATGGGGTCACAAGGGCTGGCTTAGATTTGATGGGGCCAGAAGCCAAAGCTCAAGCCCCACTGTCTAGGCCCGAAGCCTGAGGGCTTCAGCCTTGGGGGGCTGAGGTTACAGGCCCCCTGCCTGGGGCTGAAGCCTTTGTGTTTCAGCTTTGCCCCCAACCCCAGGGCAGTGGGGCTTTGGCCCCCCTACCTGGGGTGGCAGGGATCGGATAGTAATTTTTGTTGTCAGAAGAGGGTCGCAGTGCAATGAAGTTCAAGAACCCCTGCACTAGTGCATAATTTCTAGCAAAGATAAGACCCAAACTCCAATTTGCTGCTCTGCAGCTGTCTGTAATAGGTACATTTCAAAGGAAAGCTACCAATGCTGCTTAAGCTCTAGTTGAGTGTGCTCTCACACTGCACTTAAGGGAGACATTCATCTTGTAGTCAAATAGAATACACCCTCAATTCCACTTCAATAGTATCTGGGAACAAATGGCCTCTCAGATGTTCCATGAATAATACAAAAAGACTAGGAGACTTCTGAAAAGATCTCTTCCTCTGCAGGTAAAAGGCAAGAGCCCCATACACGTCCAGTAAGTGTCATGCTGCCTCTTCCATGTTAGAATGAGGTTTTAAGGTAAAATGCAGTATTGGTCCCAGGATATGAGAGAGACAAGGTGGGTGAGGTAATATCTTTTACTGGACCAACTTCTGTTGGTGAAAGAGACAAGCTTGTGAGCTACATCGAGCTCCTCTTCACGTCTGAGAGAAGAGCTCAGTGTAGCTCGAAAGCTTGTCTCTCTCACCAACAGAAGTTGGTCCAATAAAAGATATTACCTCACCCACCTTTTCTGTTTAAAGTAAAACACAGGTAGATAGAGACATAGTTGATGTGAAAGTCCGACACCTCCTGAGGGTGGAACTTCAGATGTAGTCTCATGGATACCTAGTCCTTGTGGAAAACTCAATAGGAAGGGTCAGCCACGAACACCTCTAGCTCCCTGACTCGTCTGTTACCTTCTTAGAGATGTAACGGAGAGCAGGATGCCAGGGGCACAAACGGTTATTTAGTAAGAGTTGATCCAACAAGATTCAAGTTGCAGACTGGTATACATTTTGTCACTGGAGAGAAGACTCAAAGAATCGCATCCTTATAGGAAGTGGATGGTAACTGGATGGGAAAGTACAGAGCAGGTGTATGCCATACTGTGCTGGTTGGGGACATAGACCAATGCCAGCCACGCCATTAGCGGCCTGAGGTGAAGTCGCGCGTGCCAAACCACATAAATACATCCTGCCATGTGACCCAGCAGTCTCTGGCAGGTGTGGGTGGTGGTGAACAGGTGGGCATGCAGAAATTAGATGAGGTCTACCATGGCTCAGACCAGAGTCTCAGGGAGGAAGGCTCTGGCCCAAGTGGAGTTGAGTACCACCACAATGAACTGTGTGTTGCACTGGAGTGAGGGTTAACTTCCTATCATTTATTATTAGGCCCAGGTTGTGGCAGGTGGAACAGACCAGAGCGAGATACCTCCTCACATGATCCGAGGACTGGCCCCTTAGCAAGGAATCGTCGAGGTATATGTAGATTTGGACCCCCAGACGTCACAGATAAGCGGTCACTGGAGCTTTACACTTGGTGAACACTCTCGGAGCTGATGAGAGACCAAAGGGCATCGCTGTGAACTGGAAATGGCGCTGGCCCAATGTGAAACAGAGGAAACACTGGAATATGGAAGTACGCATCTTTTAAATCGAGGGCGATGTACCAGTCTCCTGGATCCAGGCACGGGATGATGAAGGCCAGGAAGACCATATGAAATTTCAACTTTTTGAGAGACTTGTTGAGGCGCCGCAGATCTAGAATAGGTCTGAGGCCTCTCTTTGCCTTTGGAATAAGGAAGTTGCAGAAGTAAAATCCTCTTCCTTCCATGCCTCTGGGTGCAGGAGGTTTTTGATCTCCTGAATGAAGAGTTGCTCGTGAGACGGGTCCATGAAGAGGGACAGGGAAGGGGGTTGGAAGGGTTGGTTGGCTACGAACTACAGGGTATAGCCCGATGAGACAGTGTCGAGCACCCAACGGTCCAAGGTGATATGGGACCAGGCTGACCGAAAAGGGTGGAGGTGGACGGGGAACGGATCCAGTACAGTGACTGGGACATCGTCCTCGGGCACATCCTCAAAATGACTGCTTTTGGCTGCCTTGGTCCCTGGAAGGTCTAGGCTGGGAAGGTTGACAAGACGACGACTGGTGGAATCACTTAAAACCCATCTTTCCCCTTCTTTTTGTAGGAGCCAGATCGAGGAGAACCCCAAGACCTCAATAACTGCAGAGATGGCGGGGGGCAAAATGGCTTTTTGGCCTGCTGAGAAGTATGTAGACCCAAGGAGCAGAGGGTGGCCTGGGAGTCTTGAAGACTGTGGAGCCTAGCATCAGTTAACTCAGAGAAAAGCCCTGTTCCCTCGAAAGGGAGGTCCAGCAGGGTGGATTGGATCTCCTGGGACAGTCTGGAGGTCTGTAACCAGGAGCTATGCCTCATGGCTATTGCAGAGATGACCACCCTGGACACCGAGTCCATAGCATCCCAGGCCATCTGGAGGACACCCCTGGCTACCGCCTTGCCTTTGTCTATTAGAGTGGTGAACTTCTCCGCCTAATCCTGTGGGAGGCTCTCTTTGAACTTGTCAACATAGTCGCACAGGTTGAAACTGTATCTGCCAAGTAGGGCCTGATGGTTAGATACCCTAAACTGGAGGCTTGCTGAACAGATCATGATGTCAACAATTCACAGATTAATCTCATGTCATACCCTTCTATTAAGATCTTCACGTAATTTGTACAACATTAAAATTACAGTTGTGGTTATATATTCAGCATAATATTATATTTCAGCACTACACATCTCAGACCCCTATCATACTCTGGCTCAACAGGCAGAGTTAAGGGTAGATTTAAAAAAAAAAATCTATCTGGAATTTCTTTTTTAATGCAATACAACTGTGATGAGGTGTCCACACCACGGAAGAATGAAAGGGGTTAAGTCGGCTAGATAGGTTAATTAACTCCACAAGGGTGCACCTTTGGGTCAGGTGTCAGCCAGGTTACCTGAGCTTCTTAATCCTTTACAGGTAAAAGGATTTTGGAGTCTCTGGCCAGGAGGGATTTTATAGTACTGTACACAGGAGGGCTGTTACCCTTCCCTTTATAGTTATGACAATCTGTAAATTAATTTCAGATAACAGAAGGAATAACTTACTTTGCCAATGTTTGTGTTATCCAGTGCAGCGTCCACTTCATCCAAAATAAAGAAAGGGGCAGGGCGGAAACTTAAAAATAAGAGAGTCAATTAGTTTTATATAGATATACTAATATTTTGGGGATTTAGCTTGTCCCATAAAATTTTGACCAAGAAATAGTAATGTCAAGAACAGAATAGGAATGTAAAATACATTTTTGGACATAACAAATGTTCAAAATGCCTTCTGAAAATACTATGCTACATTTGTTTCCATACCACTGATGCTCAAAGATTAGTAAAAAGATGGTACTGTAAAATCTATTTCACCATATTACCTGTGTATTGCAAACACAAGAGCCAGTGCTGCCACAGATTTTTCACCTCCTGACAAGTTGTCCATTGGCATAAAGCGTTTTCCAGGAGCCACACAGTTATAGCTAATGCCTTCTAGATATGGTTCCTCGGGGTTCTCGGGACTGAGAAATGCCTGAAATACACATGCCCTAATATTTAGTTAATACTGAAACATATGAAATGTTTAGCTTAGGGTTGCTATTGTTTGTATTTTAAAGTTTAAATATGACATTTTGGCTGATTTGTAGTGAATAACTGTGTATCTGTATTTAAGAAAGACATTGCTAAAATAGATTTTTCTAGAACCACATCTTGTGAAACTTTTGGAATATGACAGACATCATAATCAAAGAACCACCATTTAAGGCAGACTGACATCTTAGTCATATTTTCAACACTGTTCCTTATCTTTGTTACCAATATCACTTCAGGTTATTAAAGACACTCATTTTAAGAAAAAATCTCAATTTACTTTTCACTATCTGTTTAGTTTATTTCATTTTACTTGGACGATAAAATAAATTAAGTAATTTTCATATTTATAGGCTGTTACAAAACGAATAGCACCCATGCAAAGTGTTAAAAAACAGTTACCTGTCTTTTGTAACTCTTGTTCGAGATGTGTTGCTCATGTCCATTCCATTCTAGGAGTGTGCGTGCCCACGTGCACATTTTTCGGAGATTTCTGCCTGAGTGGTACCCATAGGGTTGGCAGTGGTGCCCTCTGGAATGCTGTGCTCATGCATCAGTATATTAGGCACTGCCGGCCCGATGCCATCTCAGTTCCTTCTTGACGACAACTCCGACAGAGGAGTAGGAGGGCGGGTAATGGAATGGACATGAGCAACACATCTTGAACAACAGTTACAAGAGGTAGGTAACCGTTGTTTCTTCTTTGAGTGCTTGCTCATGTCAATTCCATTCTAGGTGATTCACAAGCTGAATCCACTGAGGTGGGCTCGAAGTTCATAGTCATGTGGCTTGCCATACTGCTTTACTGAAGCCAGCATTGTCTTGGGCCTGCTAGGTAAGTGTGTAATGAGATGTAAATGTGTGGATGCACAACCAGGTAGCGGCCCTGCCGATATCTTGAATAGGCACTTGGGCCAGGAAGGCCGCTGCCCGGGCTTGTGCCCTAGTCAAGTGGGCAGTTACAATCGCCAGTGGAGGCACTTTCACCAGATCATAACAGAAACAGATGCAGGCGGTGATCCATGATGAAATTCTCTAGGCAGACACTGGAAGACCTTTCATCCTGTCTGCTGCTGCAATGAACAACTGCGTCAACTTACAGAACGGCTTAGTCCTTTCAATGCAAAAGGCTATTGCTCTCCTGACATCCAGAGAGTGCAATTTGCACTCCTCTTCTGACTTATGAGGTTTTGGAAAGAAGACAGGTAAGTATATGTCCTGGCTTGTATGAAACTGCGAAACTACCGTGGGCAAGAAAGCTGGGTGCGGTTGCAGCTGGACCTCGTCCTTGTAGAATACCATACAGAGTGGCTCCAAAGTAAGCATCCTAATCTCAGAGACCCTGTGGGCAGACATTATTGACACCAAGAAAGAAGCCTTCCAGGAAAGCAGAAGAAGGGAGCAGGAAGCCAAAAGCTCGAAGGGGGGACCCATGAGTCGTGACAGCATGAGATTCAGGTCCTAAGGAGGGACAGGGTCATGGATGTGGGGATAGAGTCGCTCCAGGCCCTTCAAAAAAGAACCATCATGTCATGGGTGAAGACTGACCTGCCCTGGAACGGAGGATGGAAGGCTGAAATAGCGGCCAAGTGGACCTTAATCAATGAAAGAAACAGGCCCTAGAGCTTGAGATGCAGAAGGTAGTCCAACACTGACTGCAGCAAGGCCTGCTCGGGGTGGATACCCTGGTCCAAACCCCAGAACCTTTTCCACTTGGCCAGGTAGGTCACCCTGGCCGAGGGCTTTCTGCTACCCAACAGTAACTTCTGGATAATGGACCGAGTACTCCTGTTCTGCATTCAGCCACATAGCAGCAAAACTGTCAGATGCAGCGCTGCCAAGTTCGGGTGCAGAAGATTGCTGTGGTTCTGGGACAGCAGAACTGACCAGAGAGGCAGCTGCAGCGGGGTGGCCACTGAAATGTCCAACAGCGTGCCGAACCAGTGCAGGCGAGACCAAGCCAGGGCTATCAGGATTACCTTCACCTTGTGCTGTCTGATCTTCATGAGAACTCTGTGGATTAAGGGCACTGGTGGGAAGGCATACATCAGAGCCCCCTGACCACTGGAGCAAAAAGGCATCTGACAGGGAGCCTAGGTCAATCCCCTGAGTTGAGCAGAACACCTGGCACTTCCTGCTCTGTCAGGACGCAAACAAGTCCACCTGGGGGGCGGGTGGCACCTTTGGAAGATCACTCCATCCAGAGGTGGTCAGTGTGATCACTTGTGGTGAGAAGAGAAGGACCTGCTGAGGTGATCCACTAACACGTTTCTGGCCCTGGGAAGGTGCGCAGCCATAAGATGAATGGCATGCTGCACACAGAAGTCCCAGAAATGGACAGCTTGTTGGCAGAGGGCTGACGATTGGGCCCTGCCTTGCTTGTTGATGTAAAACATCGAGGTGGTGTTGTCTGTCAGGATTTGTACCACCTTGTCCTTCAAGCAAGGTAGGAAAGAATGCAGTGTTTAGCCCAGAGATACAATGCCAAGCACCCAGTGGTCTAAGGTGACTCGCGACCAGGCCAACTGGAAGGGATGTAGGCGGTTGTGCTCCTTTTGAGTTCTAGGACAAAAATTCATTCAAATATGACACGTGTCCTTCACACGCGACTCTCTCAAGCACCGTAGGCAGCTGCTATGGGGGGGTCGCTAATATGCATAGATCTGTTGCAGGCAGAACAAGGCTTAAAACCTGGAGACCACTGCATGCCCCGCCTGGGGCTAAGATCCTGCTGGGACTCTAATTTACTAACTAACACTACTTAACACCTACTTACTGACTAACTACTGTAAACAAACTATGTACAAGACAAACAAGGATGAGAGATAAAGAGAAAAAATGCTATCCACTTGCAAGTCAAGGGGAAGGCACTCCAACCAACCATCACGGGTGGTAAGAAGGAACTGAGAGGGTGAAGAAGTTTTTAATACTGAAACCATGAAATCTCTGTCTCTCACTGCTCCATTCTTCTATTGAACATAAATGTTAGGCTTCTGTCTAAAATTTTTCTCTTGCCTGAACTCTCTTCTTCTCCTCCTCAGGGGATCAGACTGTCTTATCTTCAGCTGCTCCTCACTGCTCAACACCAGATACTTGCCTCACAGCCTCGTTTTAGGCATTTTAGAGGTCCCCAAGCTTAGCTGACTTCCTTGGAGATGGAAAAGACTTTTGAAAGAACTGAATGCAGATATTTTCCAGAGGTTCTTCACAAATTTTACTTTAGCAGCAACTTCCTCAAATTGGGAGAATTCATGGTTTCTTACCTGAAAACTTTCCCTTCTTTGAAGGGAAAGATCCAAAGATTGACAATGGGTCATTGCCTGTCTGTACCTGCAGGGAGCAGAAAAAAAGCTAGGTGGATAGCTGATGAGGGACTAGTCCCCACCTTCAGGAGACCACCTCAGTTTCAAGATGCTTCCACCACTAACTCCTGTGGACTATGAAACTAAAAAACCCCAACTCTCTCATCTTGCGAAAAATATTCAACAAGAGAACATTACGAACAACAAGAACATTTTAACTACTGCAGAGAACTTTAAGCATGAGTTAAACAGATCTGCCTTTTTCAGGGAGGGACAGATCTGTTCGAAGAAAGGGAAATTTTCAGGTAAGCTGCCACAAATTTTCCCATTCTTTCTCAGGGCTAGGTCCACAGATCCTCAGTGTGGGATATTCTTAGCAATGACAAAATTCCTAGGGCGAGAACAAAATAATATCACAGAGAAAGGAATCATCACAGAATGCAGGACCCACCTGTCAAAGGCTGCATCATCTGAAGATGAATATCTATCTTGTAAAATTTAGTCAATGTTTACACAGATGACCAAGTTGCAACTTTACAGATTTCAATGCCCCTTCACTGCCCGTGTACTGAATGAGCTCTGGTGCCCACTGTTGGATTGGTGCCCTTGATATGCAAGGCCCTGATAGACTGTAGATGAGCCTCTGCTCACTGCAGCAATGATACTGTTCCTTTTGTAGATCCCTTAACCTGAGTCCTCTCCCCTTCCACTCAATGGTTTATGTATGCCATCGCTGACATTGTCCGCCATTACCAGAAGACCACCATTCAATAATACTGAGGCCAGTTGTTGAACAGCATATTTTATTGCCCTCATCTCTAGAAAAATGTATGCTCTTCTTTAGTTCCAAGAAGAACCATGTCCCTACAGCCATCGACTTCTCAGAGAATGCTTCCCATCCTTCTAGACTGGCATCTATTGTTATGACAGATCTCTCTGGCTCGGCTATGGCCATCCTTCCTAAAATCAATCTGGGCTCATCCACCAATCCCGGGATTTCAATACGAGTGACGGAATGCTCACTTTCAGAGATGGAAAAGTCAGAAAACAGCAGGGAAGGGACAGCAGGAAACTCTGGAGCTTGCTCCTAGCACTATTCCTAGAAAACTCATTATGACATGATCATCCCTAGAACACTCATTAGGGGGCCTAGGACGCCCTCAAAAGGGTAACTGCTGATCTGATCTTGCTCTGTATTTTGGCTGACAAAGATTTTATGGGCCTCTGAGTCTATCAACACTCCAAGATGAACAAGGCACTGAGATGGCTGAAGATAACGCTTTCCAAAATTTACTATAATCCATGCTGTTGTAACATTTGGATTGTTGCTTGAGTGGCTCTCTCTTTGGACAGGATTCTGATTATAATGTTGTCTAGAAAGAGTATATTTGTATCCCCATTTGCCTGAGAATAGCAACCAGAACACTGAGGATTTTCATGAATGCTTTAGGTGCAGAGAACAGTACAAAAGGCAGCACTTTGTACTGAAAATTATCCGTGTCATGAGTGAATTACAGAAATCTCCTGTGCACCTGGTGAACTGGCATATGAAGATAGGTCTCCTTCAAATCTACTGATGTGAGGTAATCCCTCTGGCAGATGGCCACCAGTATGGACTTAATCTCCAGACTGAATCTGG